CCCCCCCTACACTCACAAACATAAAACTCAGCACACAGTACAGCAGACAGCACACGTAGTAAAGAATAGCAGCGGCACGCACACAGAAAGACCACACAGGGTAAGTACAAATAACAATATACACACATTAGAAAACACCACATACATAAGATAGTAATACAAATATATTTGTATATTACAGATAACACCTATACAGTGTGGAAACAAGAACTAGCCGCTGCAGCACTTCAAACATAGGGCGAATAACCCTAACAATTTTAAAATTTTAAAATTTGGACAAGAATTTTTAAAATTTGGACAAGAATTTAAAAGTTTAAAATTAGAACTAAAGATTTCATTATGGTGCTATTACAATAAACTCAAAATTAACGTGTGTGAAGTAATCTACGGGTGGACAGCTATCAACGAAGTAGAAGTTGATAATGACAGGGAGAGTGTTTTAGATGTTAAATTTTGAACTGGGTGCAGTGTGACAGCGACGTAAGCGTTATACACCTGATGATGGCCGTCTGAGGCCGAAACATGTAGTGTAGGGAGCAAGATCAAAGACACAAGAATATATTGTTTGCACTTGAGACGGAGGTTATATCATTTATCGTATGGAGTGCAACAGGATGCTTAAATATAATATTGTAACCAGTAATGACATTTGGAGGACATTTTCACAGATGGAAAATCATTGCTGTTTCTGATCATCAGTCAAGAGCCTTGGCACAAATTTTGCTGAGACCCGATGCATTCCTAAATCTTCCATAAAAATCGTGTGGCACGAACCAAAGGATATTTCAACCCCTTCTGCGACTTCTTGGTCAGTCATTTTATGATATCTATGGATGACATTCTTCACCTGGGCAATCAGAGGTTCGGGTCGTACAGCTGATGGTCAGCCAGCCCACTCATTGTTGTCCAATAAAATTCTTCCATTTTTAACATATATGAACCATCCACAGGTCCTTGATTGACTCAAAGCATTATCACCGTAAGCTTCGTGCAAGACGCTATGGGTTTCTGCAGCTTTCTTTCTTACTTTTAAACAGAATGTAACACAAATTGTTTGCTTCTTTACCAACTCCATACTAAACGTGACAACAACACATTCTGTAAGATTCGAGGCTTTCACGGTGGTGACTATGAAGAAAGCAGTCTTCTGGGATTTGGCACTGTATATGTGGTGTTAACCGACGTTTCGGAGGAACGTCGGTTAACACCACATACACACAGTGCCAAATCCCAGAAGACTGCTTTCTTCAACAACATATTCGATCACAAAAATGGTTCTAAGAACTAAATGGAATGTTTGCTTCCTTGGAACAAGACGGTTATGTAGCTAATGATTAGGTTTCAAGGTCAATCAAACAACACCTAACATGACCAACGTACTGCTGATTAATCGAAATATTTCAGGAACTTTTTGAACACACCATACATGATGAAAGTTTTGTATGCATGTGTGGTCTTCTGGGTTGACAGCATTTAGTTTGGTAAATGGTTACCAGTGTTTATATGGCCACGCCATAGCTCAAGTGGTTAGTTGCTGGCTTTCCGCTGCAGCGGCCCAGGTTCGATCCCGGGTGTGGTCAAGTGGGATTTGTGGTGGGCAAAGTGGTGCTGGGGCAGGTTTTCTCTGAGAACTTCGGTTTCCCCTGCCAATCTTCATTCCATGCCAATCTTCATTCCACCAATTGCTCCACAATCACCCTCACCTGTCATCTGGGGCTGGTACAATAGGCCAGAAGTGACCGCAGTACAAGGGACTTAGTCCCACCCCACTAGCAATAAAAAGATAAAATAATACCAGTGTTTTGGAGAACGAGCTGCTTCCATCTTCAGAGTAGAAGTACTATAAATTTCTTGAAGATGGAAGCAGCAGACTGCTCCAAAATGCTAGTAACCACCTATGATGCTACATGGTATCATTAGCCAGATGACCAAAGTATCAATTTTTCCCTGCTGTGAAAACTTCAAAACAGTACTTACCAAACCCTGATTGATAAAATACTCAAACAAATAAACTAGTCCCAGAGGTATCATGTATACCAGGAGTGGAGGAATTGACTTAAACTTCTCTATTACAGTGAGCAGCTGAGCTGATTCAACTGCTGAAGTTTCTGACTCGGTTACTGATGCTGATGATGGCCGCTGCTGTGTCTTCTCTTCGTCAATATTACTACAATGAATTACTGACCTCCATGCGTGCAGTCGTGAACCAGGAGTTCGAAGCAAAAACCAGAACCTGGAATGAATACAGGCTGTTTGGAGCAACCCATGTTCACAAGCACTACTGCAAGGGAATACAGATAAAGAAAAGTCTCTGAAACTGGAGAACTGACGTCATTTTCTACAGACACTATAAACTGCCCAGTATACAATTTCACACTATCAATCCACAGAGAAACATGGAGACATAACAAAATACACTGTCACACCTGATCCTCGATGGAACAAATGGCTAGATTCATGCTCCAGCATCTTTATTACAGGTTAAAATACTACTGCAACCTTCATGAATTACAATTTTAGGAACAATGAAAGAAAAAATATAATTACAATGAAACCAAACATGATGTAGGTTTTCCACCATAAACCCATATGAAATTTCAATGTCTTAAAGTTGGGTCTGTTATGGAGGACAAAGTCCATGTGACAAAAGAGACAGAGAAGGCTTAGATACTTTGGTTATCTAAACCTTAAGGTAAAAAGATCATTATGCCATGTACCACCTTCCAAAATCTAAATCTGGGTAAGTCTATACAAGGTCAATAAGAACCATATACTATGTAGTAACAATACAAAATGTGCATTAAAATTTAATTTTGTTCATTCCAAAGTGCTACTCACGTGGCAGCCATAACTACAGGAACTATCAACATCAGCAACAGAGAGTCTGCTGCACTGAGGCCAAGTGAAGTGAGCCCAGCATAAGAACTAGCACCCAGAATTCCTGCAGCTCCTGTTCCAGAAGACCATGTTGATATTACATTCCTGAAAGCAACGCAATCAAACATTTCATTGGATTTAATACATTCATACAATAATCTCACATGTTGGTGATTGGACACAGGGTTTTCATTGGTAATTGGACTTACTGGACTCCTAGCTACAAGTAATTACAATGTTCTCATCAATTCATGTACTCTACTTTGCATTACAGCACATGCTAAGCATTCTCATTACACTATGTTTTCAAGAGCTGTTGCCTGGTAACGACTTGCAAAAGGGAGATTCTTCAGTTTCTGTGCTCATGTCATTAGTGGCTGGTGAATGTCTCACACCTATCCCCTTGCTCCAACTGTCCAACTGTCAGAGTCAAAGTTACTTTACAACTGGTGGTTTACCGCCAATCAGTTCGTCTCGGCATCATGCCTCTTGATAATCATGAACACGGTTCTTTCTTAACTGAACCCTTACAGTCAGTCCATGTGTACCATTCTCTCTGATTAGAGGATGGTTTTGTCTCTTCTGAATATGCTTGGCCTCTGTCAAGTGTACATATTGCATATATAGCATGATATTAAAAATTTTTTGTTGTACAATATATACAAGTCCTCTGTCAGTCCAGGTTCTGCAAAGCAGATAATGCTTATCTTACTTACCTCATGTTACAATGGCAGCCTACTCACTTGAATGGTCATAAGCTTGACCGTCACCAAGTTTAAGCCTCTTATATTTTCTATGTCTGGTTTTGCCTTGTTCTGTGGTGCAAACATGGTCGCTCTCATGATTTTGAATCACTTCTGCTTGTCACCTATATAATTTTGTTATATAATTATATACACATGGAAGTTGAAAGCTGTGTGCAAATCCTGGACCATTGTGCACCTTGGAAAATTATTTCCAATTGCTTGCATAATCTTATTTTGTGCAAGCAGCAATTTTAAGAGGCAGGTGGCTACCTATTTAATTAGGTGTCTGCCGCTAATTCCCAGGCAGGGCAAGCATAAGTCATCACCAATCTAATCAGTGTCTTATGTGGGGCTAGTTTAATGTTGGAACTTAAATGCTCACTTCTGAGCAGAGAGCAGATTCTAATAATTGTTCTGAAGGCATTCGTTTCAATCATTTCTATGTGTTGTCCCCATGTAATCCTCTTATCGAAGATTATATCCAGATATTTTACATGACTGATGAAGGGGATATTCCATCCATTAAATGTAAGATGAACCTCAGAGGGCTAAGTCTATGAGAAAAGTAAATAGCCTGAGTTTCATCTTCATTGATTCTTACATTCCAGCGTTCATTTCATGTCTGAATAGCACTGAGATCTCGCTGCAGCTTTCTGAGAACATAATCCTCTTTTCAGTCTGTCGCATATATACAGATGTCATTAGCAGAGAGACCTACACAGGCATCGGAGATTGTACAGAAAACACTACTTCCTACAATTCTTCCACTGTCGCATGCCTATCTGTTGACAGGGAAGCATGTGTATCCAGCCACTGCCACAATGGATATGTAATCATGTCACAATACATACCGCAAGAATATCGTGTAGCCACTATGTGTCAAATCAACCTCAGAAAAAAGGTCATTCAGTGAATCTGATTTTTAACAAACGGGAATTTCTGAAGTAGAAGAACTTCCATTTGTGCAGTACATGCTGCTGTTCCTTTCCAACATATCTTGACTCCTGTTAATAAATTATTTAAAAAAATAATCAATAATTTCTGAGCCACATGGCATAATATTACTTCCATTTTAAAAGTTAAGTGGACACTCAAATTCTGACACTGAATCATAAAATGTCAAGCTTGAAATTCTGCATGCTGTTTTTGCATAATACAAATTAAACTGATCTGTTATTAGTGACACAAATTCTTTAAGTTTTGCAAAGGTTATTTCCACAAACATTAGTGCTTCTGAAAAAAAATGATACACAAACACACACATATACAGAGAGATTCATCCACCTGTCTTCAGCCTTACTGTGCCTACTGGTGAGTACATCACCGCTGAAATGCAGGTTCTATCAGCATGCAGAAGTGTGTTTAACAAAACCAATCTACTTACTGCGCTATTACAGTAACTACTGAAAGAGCTGTCCTCTGATACGGGAACCACTTCATACTGACAACATGTTGTGACATGTCTGCTGAAAGCCAAAACTGTGAAGCCAGCACAGACAGCCAATGTTAGGTAATGGCTCAGTAAATGTCATGTGACAGTGGCCATGTTTATGTATGCAACAAGAGAAGAACTGCTGGAAGCGCTGTTTACTGTGCAGTCCATGCCAAGGCTAGATAATGAGGAACAGGTGCCATTAAGGGACAGTCCTGAGTCAGCAGTTCTTGAGCCATAAGGGAGGGAGGAATAGCCATTGTCAAAAGACCATAACCAGATAATGACTAGACTGTAACAAGCTGAGAACACTACTGTGGTTTATTGTGATGTGTGCATTGTTTTAGTTAGTTGTAATTCTGAGTTGTAAGTGTGCAATAAATCCAAGTACCAATCCAAACCCCTTCTATAGTCACTCAACACGTGACAGTATTTAGAAAAACACGAAGTAGAGTAATATTCTGGGTTTGTCCTTCTGGAACCAGATGTAAATTTTTCTTCTTCAGCTAGGGCTCCAAAATTCTGTCATAAAGTAAGGTAGCCCTCTGATCAGACATCTACAGTGCACTGACACCAACTTCAAAGTTGCATAACAAGATGTGATGAACAACGTCACAATGGATGATCTCTTGGGGTATGGAGTAAATGAGAACTTCATGCTGACAACACCAAACCAGCACCTCACAGTGAAAGCAATGAAGAAAGATAAACAAAATCTTGATATGACTGACAACTACATAAAAACTTAGAAAAGCCAGTGCAGAGAATCAAACACAACTACCCATAAGAGACACAACAACCAATAAGTACGCATACACGGAGGAAAATCCTTGGAACTCCTCAATGACATTAACATTGAATAATGAAATGAAGACCAGTGCAGTGTACACTAACTTAATTGCACAACAATGCACATAACAATTTCTTCATAGCAATTTTAACTTTGTAATTTTACATATAAGCTTAGAAATTAAGCTAACACAGATACTGCCCAGTGTCTAACAGAGAAAGAGCAACTTTGCTACTAAGAATGTAATGAAGCCTGAGAATGATTACTATGGTTGATACACCTTGCTAAAATAAAATACTGCATATGAACACTGAACACCTGTGTACAAATGTTGCACAGAGAGTACACAGGCGTACCAGTTGTAAAGATGCTCAAATACAACATTTCATTTGGGAAATGGAACTATGGATTTAGTATGAAGGATTTTCTTTATCTTAGCGTTGTGTGCCTGAGGATTTATACAACCATCTGTAAGAATTAAGGTTTTATCAATCATAAGAAGATGCTGACAATCAAATTTTCCATAACACGCATTATTAAAAAAACTACAAAATCTAATTCTCAAATTTATGAATACATGCATTTCTCAATAGTACATACCACCATGATTACACAAGCACACAAAGAACACTCACAGGAGAGTGACTGGCCAGAAGAATAAATGGCTGATGATTCACTTGCTACTTGATCATATTGGCAAATGATTAATGATTCATTTGCTACTCAATTAAGATGGCCTAGTTACTGCTTGTGCATTAAAAGCTGATCACTGGTCAGAATCTGGATCTCTGAATGAGCAGTACTAAATCTGTAAATGAAGTGATTAACCATTTACAAGTACTACAATCTTATTAATCTCTTCTGTAAACAAACTTGCTTATTCATTCATAATTTATTTAACAGTGTAGCCAAAAGCCTGGAAAAGTGAATTCCACCATCAAGTGACATTGCATACCTATGTTCAGTTATCAGCACAATCAACCTGTGAGATATTATGCCTGTCACTTATCACAGTTCCAGTTGTCTTTCTAGAATTCTATTCCCTCTAGGCTTGTATGTTATAATCTGTTTTCATATTGCTTCCATTCCTCTTACATGCTGTTTCCAATCAGTTTGGTAATTCTGCATCAATCTGGTGATTACCTATAATTATGATCGGACAGCATACAACATGCAGTGCTGCTCATAAGTTTGCGGTCTGATATTGTTCTATACTAATCAAGATAATGCTCAAGTGTGTGGACCGAATTAGAACAGCGACTAAAAAATTGACACATATTTCACTGAAGTGCATCTGTCAAATAAATATACATGCCAAATTGCTTGCACTATTAAACAATAACAAATTATGTGGGTCCCACATCACCATAGCATGGTATATCCTCAGGTTGTGGATCAACGAGGAACACCCAAACTATGGAGGGTACCTGAAAATATGTTGAATAATCATCTATGGCTAGCAGACAGTGAATGGTCTTCAGCTTGGGTGTTAGTCAGAAGGCTACAACATTTCACACAAAAAAAAAAAAACATACAATATTGCAAAGGATCTTGAATTTAGACACATTTTTTGGCATCCTACAGTCAGGATTAGATTCAGATGACTCTGGACAGCTATTCGGTCGTGGCCCGTCATGAACCCACGGTTTCCATAAAAGTGAGGAATATCTTGATCAGGTGGGTGACCATTAGCTTTTCAAGCAGGACACTGCTCCAAGGTCTTAGTAAGTTATGCAACAGTTAAAGTTAGTACTAATAAATATTGTGATGTGCCGCCTGAAAGCTGGAATATCGGAGTCAGACTGACAATGGCTCGGTAGTCACGTTTCTGCTACAATATGAGCAGCAAATGCATTGTTGTCTGGGTGACAATTAAACGTTACCACATAACATGTACATAGGCAGACTGTTTTACCATGGAAATTAAAACCAGAACTAGTTCAGTTCCTGCGGTAACAAATGGCACAATGGCACAAGGAAGAGACGCGCTAGACAGCAGCTGCAAAGCAAGAGGGAATTCGCCAAGACCTATGAAAAGACGGCTGGACAGGAGACCGTAAAGCGATTTGCTGGATCTCCTGTTGGATTACAAAAGATCAGGGATTGGACATTGTGGAGGAGCTGACCACCTCTGAAATGGAAAAAGAAACTGCTCACAGAGCAGGACCGGTAATACAGAAGTACCGGCCAATCGGCATATTTTAAATCCAGCATTTGAAAAGAGAAAATCTTTGGATGATGATGATGTATCTTGACAGACCTTAACCTCATCAGAGTGCCACTCGGGACGAGCACACTTAAGGTAGAATGAACACCGCAAGAAGAAAAAGAAAAAACCCAGGCTACAGGAAAAGAACATTCCACAGGCAGAAACCCTCAGGAGAGAAAGAACAGCGATACACTGTTAGGCTGTTTGGGATGGACAGACTTAAGGAGGAAGCAATGTGATGTGCCACCTAAAAACCAGAATATCGTAGTCTGAGCGGTTGTCCTTTGCTAGACAATGGCTTGGTAGTTATGTTTCTGCTACAATAAGAGCAGCAAATATATTCTTGTCTGGGTGGCAATTAAACATGTTCGCGTGACAACGCGTACATAGGCAGATCATTACCACTGAAATGAAAGCCAGAGTTCATTCAGTTCCCATGGTAACCAACACGCTAACTACCACTGCTGAAAATGCAAAACAGAACCCTTGAACATGGTGTCTTCTAGACCGTCCGACTGTCAAATAGAACAGACTGAGTGGACAGAAGAAACAAGCAGAGCAGAGCAGAACAGAGGAGACACAGAAGGCAGAAATGAACTAGGGGCAGACATCGTTCCAGCAAGCAGACGTTGAAATCCTTGTTTCAGGTCTTGTTTGAGTGTCATAACTATCTGTAGTTCTGCCTGGTGGAATTTCTCCAACACATCACTTCATCTAATCTGGAACCCATTAATTACTTGTCACTAACTAATTATTGCATTACCTGATATCAATTAAGTACTTACTTATCAAATACTGAACTGTAGGAAAGTAGTGTAACTTCTCCTAATCCAGATCCCAAGGATGTACATGCAACTCCAAGGACTGCAATCCATTCTCTTGTAGAAAGGGCTACCAGCAAGAAGCCAACTGCAGCCAGCACAACTACCATCAGCATTCGTACACTACAAAATTAATAAAGAAACTTATATTGAGTTAAAAAAAGCTCAGCTTACTTACTTCAGTAGACACTTGACTTGTGCACTGAATGTGCTGATATCTAAACGGGCTCAAACAATACAGTCCATGCAGAATATTTACCTGATTTGTTCTGAGGCTGACATGACCTACAATTAAAGAACATGAAATAAAAAATCTCTCATTAAAAGTGTTATAAGATATTCTCATTAATGCATTTACAGAAACCTTGTTACCACATTAGCTTGAATATAAGGTGGGATTTTTGCAGAAAATGTTTCTTAGAAAGAGGGCCTACCTCATTTTCAGGTCTTTCAGAATAAATATGAATATGATAAGGAATTCTAAGAGCTAATTCTAATGATATTTATAACAATACATAGAATTATAGTTAGGGTATTAAATTTTTCTTTCTTTTTATTTCTTAACAGCATAGATTTTATTTATTTTTGCTTATAACAGTCAGAACTAAATGACATATGCGTCACAAAAAAGGGGGTCACGTTATATTCGGGCTTGTATGGTAGGTACTACTATAATTTCACAATTACTGGATATATCACCATAAAATAATGAAACTAATCAGATGTAACGAATACATGGTACATCCTTGCTTCTACAACAATGACAAAGCTGATCCCTCAGCTATCCCACCACGGTTCTTCCTGTGCAGGAAAATCCCACTGCAAATATAACACCCTTTTCCATGTAAAAAGTAGTATTAATCATGAGTTCTATATTTCCACTTCATAACTTTTTTAATGCATTCATTGGCAAAAGTGATTAATTTGATTAATCAAAAATGATTTACTATTGCCGACCCTGCAGTTCAATTCACATTACAAAGCAAAAACCTTACTGCACACTTGGAAAGTTTTATAACTCTGATATACAAACTGATATATTGGGTTTTTGGACTTTATCCATCGTCCTGGTTTTTAAGATAACTAATAAAAACACGACGTTTCGGAAACTGGATCTGTTTCCGTCCTCAGGTGAAGGAAAACACCTATTCTGTTGGGTCCGTTAGAAAGAGCTAGCCTCAATCACTGGACCANCATCGTCAGAATCCTATAGTAACTTCTCATATACAAAGGTTGTCACCAACAAAAACAGAAAGTATGTGCAACAGCAAATTGCGGCAGTGTTCCAATATCAAATATGGTATACTGACACAGTAGTGCCCAGTAGTTGCCTGTAACAAATATGCTACCATATTTTCCAGGACAATTACCAAAGTGTCTAACTTATAGAAGACTGCTTGGACAATAACAACAGGATATGTAATGTGATTCCTTTGAACCATGGCAGTTCAACTGAAAAAATCTAAAATATTACAACCAGGAGAAGCCACCTTTTAAAGTAAGGAGGGCATACTTGTCCTTGCTGTCCAATTGGTGAATATGGCATGAACTCCTAATTCAGCAGACACCATAGATGTTACCAGCAATAGGGTAGGAAAACAGGGAGGAAGCCAAATGGCATTATTCATTATACCTATACACATGGTATGGGTGAAGCTGTTCAGTATCTTTCATATTACCTAACAACACAAGCGTGGAAGTGGCTAAAAGAACTTTCTATCAGTCAGACTGTGCTGTATTACTGAACAGGAGCTCAATGAAAGCACGTATACACTACACTACAGAAAAGAGTGGGACCAGGAGAGAAGATGGGGGTGAGATACTATAATCCAGGCTAATCATCACACATCCCCATGCCCAGAAAAGATACAGAGGGTGGACTAATGAGAAACCAAATTCCTGACACCAAATGTGATATCGCAGCATATGTTCAAAACAGAACATCAAGAGACATGCAATTCCGCTGCAATCTGAGAGCTGATATCCATGGTACCACACTCTCATGGTCTATTGAAAGCAATATCAAATGCTCATCTTTTTACATTATGACATCTGTGAAAAATGATATACAGCACAAAATCCCAAGTCTGCTTCCAAAATCCAGGCATTTGAAGTGGGGCCTGAATTCAGAAACCTGACAGTAGATGTGTTAAGTAGGAAAAGTGAGAAACATAACAAAATTTTACTTGAAAAACCAGAAGACAAAAGACCACTTGGGAAGAACATCAAAATAGATCTTAAAGGAACATGTGATAATGTTGACTGGATTCATAACACTTGCCATAAGTCTAGTGGTGGCTCCTGCAAACATGGTAATAAGCCTTCATGCTGTTAAACAGCTGAGTATTGAGCACTTTCTCATGGATTCTAATACATGAAATTTCATTTTACACACCAATTTCCACATTTCTCTTCCTACAACCTTTTAAATGAAAATTTAATTATTCCAAGTTTGTAGAATTGGAAATAAAACTAGATGTGGTACTTACTGTACAAGGAATGGAAAGAACGGTGCCAGTATCTTTATTGCTAAAGATGGAAGAATATCTGCTAGTAGAATTGCACCAGTTGAAGTTGGGTTACATTCACGAGTTGAATTATCCTCTGAATGTGAAGAACTTTCTTCCTTCAGTTCAAAAAGGCATATTAATATCAATAAGAAAAGCAAAAATGATTAACGATTTCAGTCACTAGTCAATAAATATATATGTCAGTATCAAAATGTAAAAAAAAGTATTCACGCTATAAGACAACTACATAATCATCTTGGAAAAAAAACACATAACATGTTACACCATACAAATGCAAGGTCTCAAGGTTCCCACATGAAAATACTTTCTTCCATTCCTTAGTGCAAACATAAATAAAGTCACAAACCTCTGAATTTTGATTGAAGTTTTGACTGAGGATGTCATGTGCTGCACTCAGCATTACAACATATCCAAAATTATTGCAAAGACCCAGGATCCAATATGCAACTAAATTTCCACACTTTCTTTGATCTTGATCTGGCTGTAAAGGTTCAGTGACACTCGATCTTTGTGGGTCTGCTGACATCTCAATTGCTCTATCTATAAATATAATAAAAAGTGATTACATTAGTACTAACAACAGTCAGTACAAATCAACATACTGGAGGTAACAGTTCCAGCCTCACCTTCTCTAACTTCAGTTTTATATGTTTTGTTACACAGCAGAAATAAATTTATGCAAAATATCAGAAGTATATTTGACATTACTGCCATTTTAAATTTAAAATAAATGTAAAATTTGATTCATGGATGATCACAAATTTTGTCACATCTTAAGTTCTACTTAACATTCACAGCTGAGCTTGAGCCCATATAAATCTCCTGAAATAAGCTTTAAAGTGATCTAGGTCATAGGTCAATACTTAACATGTATTGTGGATTTGGAGGTGGAAATATCAATACATTGATGTTTTCTTTTGTGTGGTGCTTACATTCATATTGTAGAAGTTGGTTCTCTACACAACCTTAGCCACCTACTCTTATCAATATGTTAGAAAAGTAGTCAGACACTACCAGGTCTATTTAAGACAGAAGCCATGTTTCTTGTTGCTTCTGTCATTCTCGTCAGTTCCAAGAGAGTAAGATTCTCCTATTGTATTGCACACATATCTCACCTAGGAACTTTCAGCATGTCAGTCCTGTAAGGTACATGTATCATGGTAATAGCCCATTAGGGTGTAAGACATTACCTTTCCCCTGAATAAAACACACACCCAATTACCACTTACAGTCATGATAACAAATAACATATCCTATATTCTCACAATATACTGGTTTTACACATCTACTTCCCTATACATATCAGACTTTAAATATATCTTTGTCTTTCATCATTTGAACTGGCTCAAATAAATGCAGGAAGTCTTTGGGTTCCAGTATGGTCATGTGCAGGGCCGCATCATAGCTCAAGCGGTTAGTCGCCAGCTTCCCACTGCAGCGGCCTGAGTTCAAACTCGGGTCTGGTCAAGTGGGATTTGTGGTGGACAAAGTGGCGCTGGGGTAGGTTTTCTCAGAGTACTTCGGTTTCCCCTGCCAATCTTCATTCCACCAAATTCTCCATTATCATAATCACCTGGGGCAGGTATAATAGGCCAATCAGTGGCTGCCGTGCCGAGTGGACCCAACTGGACTCCACCCCCCACTTTGGTCATGTGCATTGATGAATCACTCTTGCTGAAACTGTGTGCCACAGGTAAGTTATGAACTCAAAATTGCACAATATTAATGTCTTCAATACACGAATTATGTAACTAGGAATGAGTGAATATTTGAAGATGGTATGGTTGTTGTTAAGTAATCACCTGGGGCAGGTATAATAGGCCAATCAGTGGCTGCCGTGCCGAGTGGACCCAACTGGACTCCACCCCCCACTTTGGTCATGTGCATTGATGAATCACTCTTGCTGAAACTGTGTGCCACAGGTAAGTTATGAACTCAAAATTGCACAATATTAATGTCTTCAATACACGAATTATGTAACTAGGAATGAGTGAATATTTGAAGATGGTATGGTTGTTGTTAAGTTAAGGAGGATGAGATGAGCAGGGCATGTGGCATGAATGGGGGAGAAAAGTGATGCATACAGGATATTGGTGGGAAAGCCAGAAGGAAATAAGACCACTGGGAAGACCATGGTGTAGGTGGATGGACAATATTAAAATGGATCTAGAGAGATAGGATGGAATGGTATGGATTGGATTGATGTGGTTCAGGACAGGGACCAGTGGAGGGCTCTTGTGAACACAGTAACGAACCTTCAGGTTCCATAAAATGCTGGGAAGTTCTTGAGTAGCTGCACAATTGGCAGCTTCTCAAGAAGTGCTCAGCTCCATGTGCAAGTGATGGTTGTTAAATTAACCATTTACTTGTTCCAGCTAAATCATCACATGGACCTTTCCCACAGCACTCATCATAAAAAAAAGCCATTCAGCAGTGAAACCAAAATCGTTCTGATGGAAACACAGTCTGGTGAAACTGGTTCTACTGTTGTACTGAACAGCAAATCCATCAGAGAAGCAATATGAATGCTCTGACTTGGTTTGAAATGTTCTCTCTATAAAGTGTACTTAGTCACATGGAAAGTACATCTACTGCATCTTGAAACAAACAGTCTGAAATCACAATACAACTAGCGTATCTCAAAGAGTTGCCTGTATTCTTGAAATAAGTCACAAAATTGTTAACTGTGGCTTAGGCATTATGCCAGTGAAATGACTGAACATCATTCAGAACAAAAGAATAACTTTCAGTGACAACACACAATTCATTTGTGTTAAGGGCTAACTTGGGTTCATTTTGGAAAGTTGACTGTTGAATTTCTATGAATGAATGACATAGCAGAGCCTACAATTTTTCAAAGAAAATTTTCAAGCATTCTTCCACTGAATGACTAATAGCTTCTAATGTGAATCTATCTGTACTGTACAGGCTGTAATGCTTATATGATATTGTCGCGTGTTGGGCGTATGACACGACAAATAACTTCACGCCGTATTTTATATAGCGAATTTTATTTCACATTCGCACTTACAATCACCCAAATTACAGATTTACGATTACTGCTATCTGCAGTGTCACAAATAGTACACTCCAAATGCCACAACACAACTGACTAGTTGCTGGCTGCTACAGTAGAACTGACTGACTGACTCAGTACAACTGACTGTGAATAGCCTGCTCCTTATGTAGCCTTGATCGGACAATACGGAAAACAGCCACGTAATAGGCACCCTTGTTGCCTGGCGCTGTGTTGCTAGTAACGCTAGCGGTAGTAACCGCTGTTACTACCATAACAATCCTGTTGNTGCTCCCCTCTTAAGACAAAGCTCATCTTGAGCGGTTTCCTTTCAGCTCGCCAGAAGATCACATTCATCCATCGCTTTCTCACATGGCACATTCACTCTCAATGGGGAGGCCGGTTCTTCTATTTTACCGGCTCCTCTTCTGTGTCTGCTCCTTTTTTCGTTTTGGAGGGGGTCGACCCCTCCATAAGGTCCACTTCCTTATCCTCCATAACCCGTTGGCAGTACCAACTAATTGTGTCGCAAACCTTCCACTGAAGATCACATTGCCGGTCGTCTCCCTCAGGCGTAGTAGTTCCTCCACGTCCTGTTTCCTTATGCCCTTGCTGCATTTCCGTTGTGGCTGACACCGCCTCCCGGACGTCTGTCCTGTCACAGTTCCAGTCCTTCCTTTCCCGGCTTCTCGCCCAGCACTGACCCTCATTGAGCATCTCCTTACGGGATCTCCCTTGCGCCGTGTCGCACCTGCACGACTAGTCACATTGCTGTCGGCAGCCAACTTTATCCGGGACGCATGATCTCCTCGGGTCCAAGAATTCCTGAAGATGTTCCTCTTGCGCCATGCCACTCTTGCAGAGCGGGACACCCCCTTGCTGACGACGGCCAATTTATTCTGGGGTCCACAACTTTCCCGTGTCGAATTCTTCATATTTCGTCGATGACGGTCCCTGCGCCTTTTATTCTTCGGTTCTCCGACCGGCATTAGTTCGGCGTCTTGTACGGGTACCTCTCGTAGTTCTGCCGCCTCAGGTTTCCTGTTTGCTGAAGTCGGCTCTTCTTCTTCTGGACGTGCCTCTGTTTCTTGGCAGGCCAACGTCACTCTGACCGGTATCACTGTGGGGACCTCCTCTAGTTCTGCCGCCGCAGGTTTCATGTCCACTTGGCAGGCTGTCGTCTCTTCCTGCCAGGCATTGAAGTTGGCGGCTAATTTCGTCAGCAGGCTATCTGTCTTTTCTTGATAGGAGTCTAATTTCGCCAGGAAATCCTCTTTGTCTTTCCTCCTATTGGCCTCCATTTCTTCCTTGTCCGCTTTTCTATTGGCCTCTGCCTTCGCCAGCATTTCGATTATCTGCTGCATCTCCATTTTGTAGCAGTAAGATATTTGATGCACAATAATCCAATTATTTGTCAGGCGCGTTTAAGTTCGTAAAAATTCTGACACCAAATTGTCACGTGTCTTGAGTTCGAAGCTCGTTGGTCACGTGTGTAAGTCCAAATCCCAATGGTCACGTGTGTAAGTCCAAATCCCACTTCTGACACCAGTTGTCACGTGTTGGGCGTATGACGCGACAAATAACTTCACGCCGTATTTTATATAGCGAATTTTATTTCACATTCGCACTTACAATCACCCAAATTACAGATTTACGATTACTGCTATCTGCAGTATCACAAATAGTACACTCCAAATGCCACAACACAACTGACTAGTTGCTGGCTGCTACAGTAGAACTGACTGACTGAGTACAACTGACTGTGAATAGCCTTCGCTGCTCCTTATGTAGCCTTGATCGGACAATACGGAAAACGGCCACGTAATAGGCACCCTTGTTGCCTGGCATTCTCACACATTGGGCAGATTGGTGTCACCTTTAGTGAAGGAATTGGGGAGTTGGGATGCAGGAATCTTATTCAAGGTTCCTTTGACTGTTTTATTTATATTTTTTTTTTTTTGTTATTTAATGATACTGTCAGTATTGAGGCTATACATAATCAGTGAGAGGACGATTAAAGAATATTGCACAGTTGGTGAAATGAGAATTGGCAAGGGTTACCAAAGAACTCAGACAAAATCTTGCCCCAGTGCCACTTTATCCACCAAAAATCCCACATGACCTGACTTGGAAGAGAACACAGGCCACAGCAGGAGAAGACAGCAATTAACTGCCTAAGCTATGGCACAGCCTCATTTCCAGCAGAGGCAATGAATGGACAAATGGGACCTAGTTTAGTCATTTTGCTGCCTTCAGTTTACTGTAAAACCCATATGACCCACTTACACTTCACTTCTGGACAGCACTGCCTGCCCTTTCAAAAAGCTACTGACTCCTGCCTTGCAGTGTGGAGAGTTTTATTATTTTTGTGAATTCCTCCTGATGATGACAATTCTAATGTCAAAACATGTAATATGCCATTACAAACACAAAAGAGGAAGATTTTTTTAGTGGTGTCCATGTGCATGTGTAAGGAGGAAAAAAGTGAGAGAGAAAGTGTCATGGTTACTTTCAAACCTTAGTGTTAAAGGTTCATTCCATATCCTTCCAACCCAACCCCCTCAGAACTTTTTGTTAAGATTGTAGTCCAAACTGAGATATGCATTTGTGTAAAATTTATTGCTTTATGAGCACTAGAATTCTGAAAACAGACACCCATGTCACAGAACTCATTTTCTGGGCAAAAGTTGTCTTACAAAAAGTGGCATAACTTCTGCAATGAGAACCTTACGTTCCTCATAGAATTTATATGAATAATATATGTAGGATTCAAAGTTCTCACAGCACTGGGATTTCTGTCTTCTGAGATATAATGCCATGTAGTATGTTGAAAGTCAGTCAATGTTTTGGAGGAACATGTCAGCTCCATCTTCAGGGCTGAAGAATAAGCAAAGCAAGAAACCAGCAAGAAGCAGACAGCTTGGCTTATTCTTGAACCCTGAAGATGGAGGTGACATGTTCCTCCAAAACATCGACTGACTTTCACAGACTACATGGCATAACATCCCAGAAGAGAGAACTCAAAAGGACATGTGTTTTGTCACAATGCCTTGTAACCTTCATGTGTTGACAAAACTGTACTGACAACTTTGAATGGCTTCTATACAAGTAGTTTCCTTACAAGAAGATATCTTACTGTATAAATAGCAATATTTTGTAATATATACATAGTTAATTTACAGGGTGGCACACGAAATAATCCAGTATTTGATTTACTATTAATTATTCAACCATGCAATTAACAATGTTTTGTAACATGGTAACTCTTACAGCAGATCATGCAGATCAGTTCTTACGCTTTCCAAGTGCACTAGTGTCATGCTGTTCCTGCTCATGCGCCAGTTTACACAAGCTGGATGATAAAGGGAGACTACAGAACATCACATAAAAGCAGTGTTATTCTTTACTGACACAAGAAGTGTTGTGGTCACACAGAGACAGTGTTTTGCCCATTTTCAAAAGTGATGGGTGCCTTCATTCAAAACAATAAATAAATTTTTATAATCAGATTAATATTGATGGCTCAGTATTGAAGAGGAAATATTGCCAGCCTTCATCTGTAGGTTCTCCAGAGAAAATTGACACTGTCAGAGTGGCACTGCGAAGAAGCCCTAGCAAAGCAACAGGGAAGGCTGCAGCACAACTAGGGATATGACGATCAGTGCAACGAATATTGAAAAGTGATTTGAATTTGTATCCATACAAAATGATGGTGTTGCCTAAATTTACAGTTCGAAACAAACATAAAATAATGGGCATTTGCTGAATGTGCTCAGAATAATGAGGTATCATTCAACAATGTTTGGCTTTATGATGAGGCACACTTCCATTTGGATGGTGCGGTTGGTAAACAAAATGTGTGACTTTGGGCATCAGAAAATGCATGTGTGATTCATGAGAAGGTGCATCATGCACTTAGAATTACAGTGTGGGTTGCCATCTTAAGTGATTGACTGCTAGGGCGAATTTTCTTTGAAGAGACAACGAACAGTGAGCACTATTTAATAATTTGGATAAGTTCCAAACCAATAACTCTGTATATGTGATTGGTACTAGAAAGAATGACCACCTTCATATACCTTCAACACATTTATCATCCTATCAGAGAGGGGTATATTATTCAAATGTCAAGCTATTTAACACTCTGCTGTCAAATACCACAGTTTTGAAAAATGACAGAAAGCAATTTAGTTTTGTTTCACGAAACTATTTGCAAAGTAGCGCATTTTACTTAACTGATGAATTTATTGAGCATGTAAGTGGCTCAAAAGTTAAGAGTTAATAAATGGTCTGTGTGCCTGAATTATACATTGTTGAGACTTGCTTGTTGTAAGTGTAGTAGTATGTATGGTCTGTTTTTGTTATGAATTTTAATATTTTATAATGTAACTGTTGGATGATATGGCTTGCCAGCGTGTGAATTTGATTGTGGTTTCTCCACAACCCATGTGTGTTGTCCTGACAACTTGAGCTATCTGTGTGAGGCCTGATTATATATTTTATTGGACCAAGGACTATGATGTGTAATCATGAATTTGTAATATGTGACATGTTTTATAGCCAGCCCTATGGGGAGATGACTGGAACCATGAAGTGAGTAATAAATGTAAATGTAAATGTTGCGCAATACTTCCGTCCCTCACCTTCTTGCTATAAGTTTGCCATTACAAACTTAGTGGCTCATGCAGGATGGAGCCAGACTGTACACACAGCAAAAATTTAGAGCTTTCTGCATGACACTTTTGGCTTATATGTCATCTCAAACGGATTTCCTGAGTGTTCTGCATGTGGACAGAACTGGCCATGAATAGCTCTGATTTAAACCCATGTGAATACTTTCTTTGGGGAATCCTTAAGGAAATATTTTTTTCCAAAAAACTGCAAACACCAATGGAATTGAGAGCACTAATCATTCGGGCCTGCAGCATGGTAACTGAGGATATGTGCTGTCAAGTAATCAACAACATCACAATTCATGCTGCAGAAGTTGCCAAACATAATGGTGGTCATATTGAACACAGAGGATAAATCTCCATGCATTAGTATTTCTTTTTCTTATGTTTGTTTCTAGTATTGTAATTGAAATAAAGATTTTGTTAACAGATCATATACTGGTTCATTTTGTGCCCCACCCTGCATATTAATCTAAATTAATAAATGTAAAAGATTTAAAAGAAACGTATTGTTTTAAGCTGTCTCATCAATACAAGTTAAGTGACTCTTCACAGTAAAATGCTTTGCAAAACCCAATTCCATTACAGTTAAGTTGACAGATCAGATATTTTTCATAACAGTTACATGTCCACAATATATTATTTTCAATAATATTAAAATACATTTTGAGAAATACATCAAAGGTCAAATTTCAACACCTTAAAAATATAACTGTGCTGAGTATATATGTAAAATATGTCACTGGAGAGGGCAGTTTACTGGCCTTGAAACTAGCATAAAATGAGCTCTGTCTCAATTAGGGCAGAAGTTTTGCCATTTTTTAAGACAACATGCAACCATTAAAAAATTTAGAGTCTGCTCTCTCTGCCATAAAGCAGTAAAATTTGGCAGGAATACTCACTTCTGTCAGGATTACCATCTCAGGTACTTCGGTTCGAACCTGTGTTGCTTTCATATGGACCAACCCTCAATCAGTCAGGAGTTGGGTGGCAAACAAAAAGGAGGAACTTGGGTCCCTAACAATTCAGCAGGAATACTCACTTCCATTAGGATTACAATCTCAGGTACTTCGGTTCGAACCTGTGCTGCTTTCATATGGAGCAACCCTCAACCAGTCAGGAATTGGGTGGCAAAAAAAAGGAGGAACTTGGGCACCTAAGAAGCAGACATATAGATTAATGCCCAGACAAACACTATCAAAAGAATAAAAAAAATGTCAATTTTTGTAGATAATATGCACACAATAAATATTTTAAGCTATAGTGTGCCTGAAAACTAATGAATGATTACGTATAATATAGGACAGTATTTGTAGGAAGTCATCTCAGTATTAGACGCAACTTCAAAGTCTTTCAGTCTGCTTTCTATTAACATTTATTTTACATTTATTTTAGATTTTAATGTGTAGTACATAATCATACTGAATGGTCTGGCTAGCACTACAGTCCATCACCTTATTTCACAAAACTTGAAAACCTATCTTTATATTTGAATACCATTACTTAAACAATGTGCATGCTTCATTCAAATTACAAAGAAGTGGTTTTGGTTGTGAGCTCTTTTTCCATGTTCTCTTACTGACATAAAATATATCTCTTTTCCCTGGCTAAGTCTGCTAATTTTACCATCATAAAATTCTGGAACAGGATTCACAGTATTATAACATCTGTCCATGTCTATTGCTACTGATTTAAAATTATCTTTCACTGTGCTCTGATTTTAGAATCAGTACTAGCAACAGCGTCATTTTCACTTTTATTTGCCAACGATTTTCTAAGTCGTTTTCTTAGGATAATTCTTCATTGGTGATTCCCCTGTAGCTAATAGCATACTGTTCAGTATTTCAAGAGAAACATCTTCTGCTTCCTGGGCTGGATCATGCTTTTCTGTCTCAACTTTTGTACTTCAGTGGCATTTACTCCTGGACTGTGAAATCCCCTCGGGGCACCAGGCAGCACCCCGATGTATTTATGCCTTCCACCTGTATGGAGCCCTGCAGGTGGCGACCTTGTAAATCCCCAAAAGTCGTGAGACCAAAATGAAAGGAAGAAAAAAAAAAAAGGCCATAAGGACCTTAAACTGAAGAGGGACCCCCCTCCAAGGGGATCCCTATGAGAAATGCTTCAGCAGGCAGCTGGAAGCTATGGTGAACCACTAAGGGACCCAGGTGCAGCCAGAGAATCTGCTGCTGAATTTTCAGCCAAAGGCAGGGACAAACCAGTGGTTCGGAACCTACCTGAGGTAAAACCAAAAATTCTATTGGGAGTCAGTAGTACTGACATACCACTAGAGGGGACTAGTACCTCTAGCATACCTGCAGCAGGAGAAGGATTGGGATATCTAGTCACTGGAGTAGGTGGACTCCATCTAGCGAAAAAAGCCTTGTCTAGATGCACCAGACAGAAGTGGAAAAGGGCAAGAGCTGGGGCAAGCAAAGCAGGAACTGTGGACAGTCAGCAACCAGGAAATGCAGGCTTGTCCAAGCAGGGAAAAACCCCCACCAGTACCTTTAAGAGGCCAAGGTTGGAGGTGGGGAGTATCTGATGAGGAGACAATTCCTCCTCTTGTCAACCAGACCTTACCAAATCAGGGACCTCCCTCAGAGGAAACCAGGTCTGATAAAGTAAAAGGAGCTGTGGAAGAAGGTATTTAGGAGAACATCTTTCCCAGCATTACAGGTGGAACACACAGCATACATACATACGTACATACATACACACGATATTTACACATAAAATACGATTCATTCAGAATAATCGACACCACAGCAAGGCCGCTACGGCAATTTTATTTTGACAACTTGCTGAATGAAAAGTAGACGTAGCACTTATTCAGGAACCTTGGATATATAGGGGCCAAATAAGAGGCTTAATGAATTCAGTTGGAAAAGTCTACTCTCTGGTACCTGGAGAAAACGTGAGATCATGCATATATGTTAATAATCATATTAATCCTTTACCCTTGTTTGAGTTCTGTTCCAAAGACACAACAACAGTGAGGATGACAAACACATTGGGCAGAGGCTGTGGGGAGCTCATCGTCACTTCAGCTTACCTTCCATATGACTCAGATGAACCACCACCTTCCAAAGAAGTGAGGGACATCACTGAATATTGCCATCTTAGGAAAAAGCAGCTCATCATTGAGTGTGACACCAACGCGCACCACACATTGTGGGTGAGCACTGACATCAACCCAAGAGGAGAATGCCTCATGGAATATTTGGTGATTTTGAAACTTAATATTCAAAACCAAGGTAACGAGCCTACCTTTGTGGTTTGCAATAGGCAGGAGGTTATCGACTTGACATTAGGGACCAATAAAACAGGAAACCTGGTAACTGGCATGTATCTGATGAGCTGTCCCTATCGGATCTCAGATATATATGCTTTCAAGTAAACAACATTACAGTAGTAGATCAAGCTACTTATAGGAATCCTAAGAGAATCAATTGGGAGTCTTACAAACACAACGTAAAGGTAAATCTGGAGACCATCTCGCAAAAGATACGCACAGCTAAACGAACAGGGCAGTGGGACAACTACAAGGAAGCCCTTACCTATTACAACAGTGAAATAAGGAAAGCCAAGTGATCCTCATGGAGGAGACACTGCAAGAAGATCAATGATGTACCAGGTGGTGCCAGACTCATGAGAATCATGGCGAAACAGGCAACCAACAAGGTCAGCACGATTAAGCTGCCTAATGGCCAGTACACTCAAACAGGAAGGGAGATGCTGAATTAATTATATAGATTTCACTTTCCTGAATCAAAATTGATTGATAATTTGGACAATGGACAGGGTCAGCAAAACCTGGGCACTTGCTAAAGCAAGACGAACAGGGTATACTGGAACCTGGCCAAAGTCATGATTAAACAATCAAAAATCAGATGGGCACTGAATAACTTTAGACCATTTAAGTCAGTTGGAACAGATGGAATTGTACTGGCACTTTTGCAGCAAGGGGCAGAACTCTTAGTTCCACACCTATGCCGCATATATACAGCCTGCATGGCATATGGTTTTATCACTACGGCATGGAGGCAAGTTAAGGTGACATTTATCCCAAAGCCTGGGAAACTAGATTACACTGAGGCTAAGGCTAATCATCCTATCAACCTGTCATCTTTCTTTCTGACAACAATGGAGAAATTAGTGGATAGGCATATCAGGGACAGGGCATTGAGGACATAACCTCTACACAGAAACAAGTACGCCTACCAAACACGTAAATCTACCGAAAGCGCACTACACAATATGGTAACACGCACAGAAAGTGCAATTGAGCACAAGGATATTGCCTTAGGAGCATTCCTTGATATAGAGGGAGCTTTCGATAGAACCTCATTTGATATAATCAAACAGGCCACTGGAAAGCATGGCATAGAGCCTGCAATATGCAAGTGGATCAGTGCTATGCTAGAAAGCAGAACCATAGCTGCCACACTAACAGGAGAGACCCTGGGGGCGTCCGCATCTAGGGGCTGTCCGCAGGGGGGCATGCTCTCGCCTCTGCTGTGGAGCCTGGCCATTGATGATCTTCTGTGGGGACTTAATGATGATGGGTATTATACAGTAGGATATGCCGATGACATAGCAATCCTTATAAAAGGAAAATTCCTTTCGACAGTATCAGAGTGTCTTCAAACAGCTCTGTACACGGTCCAATGATGGTGTGAAAGAACAAGCCTATCCATCAATCCTAATAAGACGGTAATTATACAGTTTACCCGGAAGAGAAATATAAAGGGCCTTAAGGAACCAACCCTCTTCAATAAGACGATCCAGCTCTCCATCGATGTCAGGTATGGGAATCCACATTCTCTATCAGAAGAGCAGAGATATTCCTGTCATTAATTCCAATAAGATATGATACATACTTAATGCTATGCTACAAGCCATAAGATCGTGGGTTCAAATCCCGATGAGGTCAATCGATTTTTTTCAGTTGACCAAATCCTTCCAGCCGCACTAGGCCCTGGGGTTTACTCAGCCTCTAACAGAAATGAGTACCAGGAATTAATTAAATAATTTTCCTGGGGAGTAAAGCACGGCCGGCACGTAAGGCTGACAACCTGACCGCCATCTTTGAGCCGACTGTCTAGATAATGTGGGACCCTCAACGTCTCACAACCCTATGGACCTTCACAGCCTGGTACAGGGATAGCTTTACTTTCTTTCTTTTTTCTTTTTTTCCTTTGTTCTCGATTTCAATGTCTGTGTCTCTCTTTCTGATGTGAAACATAACTGGCTTGATTGGTTTAAGATTTTTACAGCAGTGACAGTACTGTCTTCTGGGATGTAATACAATGTAGAGTGGTAGAAGTTCACAGACATTCTTAAGAACATACTGCCTCCATCAGTAGGGTGAATGGGTAAGCCAAGCAAGTGGCCACCATTAGGCAGGCAGCATGCAAAGTCCTTTGGTTGCCACTTACTTCTTGCTGGTCATTTGCTTTGCTTACTCTTAAGCACTCAAGATGGAGGCAGCAGTTCCTCTGGAACATACATGAACTTCTACCAAACAGCATGGCACTAAGTCCCAGAAAAGTACTCTTCATATGCCAACCTGTATTACATTCTTTTTACATCTGCAGCTTTTGGTTTGAATTTGTAGTTCAAACAACATTTTTAAAGGCTAAAACGATGTGGCAGACAAACATGTTTGGGATACACTGGTGTAGTGCACAAGGCTACTCTTAGTGGAAAGATTCTAATTACAATATGCACTCTCTGTTTATCATTTGAATGTTGCTACACACCTGCTTCCATCAACTCTGACCTCAAATTTGTTGCATACTTAATGTCTATTACAAAAGAATCGCCACTTCCGATTATGATGAACATGTTATAACCTAATCCAACAAAACATTAAATAACACACTTAACCTATACTTTACCACGTACTGCACTTATACTTACTTCCTGGACCGTTAAGTTCCATTTCACAATAGACAATAATACGAACTGGCGAAAAATACCAACATCTAAATCTGAAATCACTGTGCAATTTTACCAGCACTTAAATATGCTCTACAACCACGTCAACATGTATCAACATCCGGTTTCTTTTTTACGCGTTGTCCTGATGGTCCTGATGGTCCTGATAGCCATCTGTGTAAGATACCGTTAATGGGCGAAAAATAATCTTGGATTATGCACAATTATACACTGATTGCACTTAACAAGTTTACTACTTCCATGTATAGCTTCATTCATAATTCGTAAACATCACAATTCCTGCTGCTCCCGAAGATCATACTTTCGTGCAATCCCTACTTGAGGCTCGAATACAGCAGCGATTTCCAAACATTTCCTGAAGACACTACTGAAATATAAAAATATATGGCGCACCACACACCGTTTCACACTAACAGTCTTAACCGCATACT